GACTTTGGACAAGGTGTCTTTAGATAAGTCGCCCTGACAACAAGACAAAGTTATGAAAACGAGATCAACCAACTTCTATCAACCGAAATTAGATTGCGATAATATCGAGGGCCACATGAATGAAAGTCAAGAGCCCTGCAAACTGCCACTAGTACCGGTATTGGAGATGATTACGCCTCACTAAACCCATTTGTAGCAACAACGAGAGCACATAATTGTATGTATAGATAGATGGGGTTTAAAGAGACAATGAATTCACAACGGTTTAACAGAAAATTGGTCAGGGGATTGCCTTCACTTGCCATTTTGATAAATTGTAACTCTGTGCTGACGATGCTGCGAAACGTTTGGGAATGTACCAAATCAATAGCCCAATGCTGGAAATCACGAATATAATGGGAGAGGATTAGGTACGTTCCACACGGTCTTCCTGATGCTCCGACCAAGTTGCGAAAACGAGGTCAAACCATTACTATATAAAGTCAAAAAAGACTGCGACTAAACAGAAGACCATACCATTTTGGTTTTCACACCTACGAGCATTTGCCTTATCTTTATTCCTTTCTTCACATTCTCGATTACCTACTCATTTATTTTCTTTTTCACTTTACTTCTTTGTTTTTCACCTTCATCTTCAACTTATACATTCTCCCTCAAATTCTTCCTTGTCTTCTTCTTCCCCTTCTCCACTTTCTCCCCCTTATTCTCTCTTTTCTCTTTCGCAACATTCATATTCTCATGTATCTTCTTGTTTACCATCTAATTTACCTTTTATTTCACCTTATCTTTTATCTTCTAAATCTTGCCATCACCATAATAATATTATCTTTTAGGAGTTAATACCTCTTTACTGACCTGCAATAGATCTACTTTGTATTGGACATCAAAGTCACGCCCAACAATCTATTGATGCATTGGCGCTTAGTATGGTGCGGCTCTTAAATACGCATCTCTTAGTTCCGAATTACTATTGGAAATATCCCGCTTAATTTATGGGGAAATTAGCTAAATTTATTTTGTCGTATTCTATTTCTAAGCCTTAATGCACTAAATTAATGAGAATCTTTGCAAAGTTGTCATCCGCATGACGCATCGATCAGTCGCTTGAGCAGATTCTGGCGCATTGCCTTAGCATGCTTAAGTAGTAGTGAGCTACAATCGTAATTGCTTCAGTAAATGCTGTATTCTCACGGAACTATATGTCAAACAGGAGACTGAGATTATTTCGGTCATCTATTCATCCACCGTACATGAACTACATCTGGTCACAGCAAACAAATTCTAGGATGAAACTTATGTTTCCTTTCAGCCCAGGTACCACCAAAGTCATTGTTGTGGATGACACACACTAAGACATTCATTTAGAATAAATTAGGCGGAGTTTGATAAAAAAATTTCATATTCAAGCGTAATTATTCCTACTTGAAATGTTAACTCTTCACATACGGGCGTCATATTTATTCCCCTCCATTAGTTTACTAGTGATTAAAGCGATCGGCCTGAAAGAGGTGCCATAAAAAACAAACTTACCTTAAATACAAACTTTTCATTGAACACGGGGTCAAGTATTTTCCTGTGAACTTTAGTTTCGAATTTCTTCTTTTTATCGGGCAATAAATACACCTTGACGTAAGGGTCAGATGTACCGCACATGTCCATCGCTGGCAAGTCTCTGGCTTGAAGTACTCCGACGGTGAGCTGAAACGTCAAAGATCCATTATTATGTTAAATTTAATCCAAATCTTTATGAAGAAACAAAAACTAATTATGCTTATTTTTTTGTCTTGGTGGACCATCAATAGTATGCAGTCTTAATTGTGCAGGCTTGACTTGATCATATATTTTCAACGATACTATTTGTTACCGAAAGCTTCATGATAAAAGAGGTATTCGCTTCAAAATTCAATCACATGCACTACAGTAATGTGAACAGATTGACCATAATGTATATACTTACTCATTCATACATGCAGA